TCTGTCTGTCTGAGGCTGCCTCTTCAGCTTCTCTCTTGATTTCTAGTACTGTGAAGAGCAGGTCCCTTATTGCCTCAGGTGGTCAGCGACCTTCTGATGTGGATGTTTTTTTGCTTGTACTCTGAACAAGAGGCACCGAGCTCCATCCAGCAGGGGAATAACTAGCTTGCTTTTGATAAGTAAAGCCATGGTAACCACACTTGAAGCTAATTCATTATGCAAGTCCTTGGGAAAACATGTCATCTCCTAAGGAATTGATTCATCTCATTAAGAAGTAAGATGCCTGTCTATTAGCAAATGTAAGTGCATACAGAGATTTTCGAATGCCATGTTCTAAATTGAGACACCCTCTTGTCCCGCCCCTCTGTCAGAAATCCATCCTGCGAAGAAACCTAATGTAATTCGATCTACACCAAGCCTGCAGACCCCAACTACCAAGCGAATGCTCACCACCCCGAATCACATGGCTCTGAGCATTCTGGGAAAAAGAAACTACAGTCATCACAATGGCCTGGAAGGTACGTAAGCCTGGGGCCCTCCTCCCCGACCTGCTTCCTTAAACCAAGTGATAGATTACAAACAGGCTGGTCCCCTCCCTGATTGGATTCTGCATGTGGTGTGGGGGATACCGAGAGGGAATGTCGCCCTGTGGCGGTTCCCCATCTCTTCAGGAGCTGCTTTCCGCTCTCCTCTCCTGTTGGAGACCCTTCGGAGATGGAGTCTGTACTTAGCGGGCTGCCTCCGCTGGGTTCTCGTACCTCTGCCCTGATGCGTGCTCACGGCTGGAGCAGATGGTCCTGAGCAGAGGGATTACTTTCACCTTGTGTCTGAGACATGCGTCGGCGCTCTCTGGGGCTCTTCAGCATTCCGTGAACCATCTTGAATTTGGCCTCCGACCCTTCTTCAGTCTTAAATATACACTGTCTAATTGCTTAGGAGTGCTACAAGTCATGATATCATTTTCCTGGGTGATGTCCTAAGAATGGAAATAACACTGTATGAAGTGGAGAAATAGCCATCCTTCTCTAGCATCCATCTGCTGAGCGGGGCCGTAGAATGACTCCCGTTTGGACTGTATCAAAGCATCACGCATCGTCCACCCCGTGTGTACCGTTCATCCTAATTCTTCTGGGGCTGTCTGGTTGGTTTCAGTGCGGGCATTTTTTGAAGAATCCACTCTCGAGGCTTCCCAGGCCTGTGGAGCTCGAAATTCCATCAGTGACAGTAAATTTTAAGGAGGCCAAGGATGTGGGCCAGCCCTTCTCTTGATCATTTCCCCCAAGGGCTTTCCTGCCATGGGAGTTTTGAAGGTCATAGCCCACTGCCACTGAGCCAATTCCAACTCTTTGGGACCTTCTCTAGGGTCTCTGAGACCACAACTCTTTCTGTGGGCTTCATCTGACTGGTGGGTTTGAGCCACCCGCCCCTCACCCACAGGGCGAGGAGTCTCCTTTGCATTTATAGAACACCAATGTAGGGTAGAAGAGCTTTTGAAGAATCTAGCTACACAGCAGCCTTACAAACATGCTTCCTTGCTGGTGAGAACGTGGGCTCTCCAGCCACATAGACCTGGTGCCTTTGTGCAGCCGTGGACCAAGGAAGGATGGCGGCACAATGCGGAGACTGGAACTCTCTCCGCCGTTTCCTTGCCCACAGCCTCAGGCTTCGGATTGCCCCTCAAAGGGCATGAGCTTGTCGCAGAAAACGCAGCCTGAGTTCAGGTTCCTTCATTTGAGATAAAACATATATGTTCATAGATGCACTGAGATTATATATGTGGGTATAAGCTGCCAAGGGTTGGAATAGAAGAACTCAGATCTATTTCCCACGAACATGGTGACTTCAGCCTAATAAATAGTCTCTGATACCGGGACCTGTGGGGCGTGCACGGAATCAGGAACCTGTTGATTACTGCAACCTAACTACGAGGAATTGCGGGTGCCAATGCCAGCCATCGTTCTCAGAGGTACAGGCGGCGCTCCCATTTGCTGAGTGCGTCCATTCTTCTTTACGTTTTGCCTATACTGTTGTTGTTTTTTATCAAAAAGTAAGTGTGGAAGAAGGTAAGAGATATGAC